GAAAAAATTTTTATCGAACTGACTTTCTGCGAAAAAATATCCTACGGACTTCAAACTTGGTCATTCTGCAGTACACATATAACTGTACACAAATATGCCTTTACTGGATTTTTTCGGTGCAAAAGCGGGGAAAACGAGAGCCTAAAAAATTGCAAGCTCCGTCCCAATCTCTTCCCCATGTGTCATTGCATACTGCAAGCCTTAGTAAGCTCATCCTCAAAACGATGCCTTGAACTTATTTATTTATTTATTTATTTCATACACGTAAACGTGTGCCAAAGCCTGGGTGAGTGACGAAAACATTGCTAGAGTAAAAAACTAGCCTGTCACCTTTACCAGAACAAACAAACAGCGAATAAGGGCCTGAGTGTTGAGGAAGAAAAATTTCTATTTGGTCAAGGGAGGTCAGGTGATTGGCATTGAGGAATGCCACTGCCATTTTTCCGGGCTGTCCAAAACGTCTGCGATTGGTTCCTGCCAGGTATCCACCAACCTGATACCACCGACATTTGGATACACCTGCCTTATTCTAAGAAAGCCATGCTTGAAATGCAGGTGTCTACGGTCCCAAGGCACAATGCTGTTGCCCAGTCCGAAAGTGGGTGACAAGCCAGCACAACATGGCACGATAGTCGAGAAGCACGAACACAACAAATCGAAAAAAAAAACATGAAATTGTAAAACGACGTAGTAGAAAGGAGCTTCACGAAAGCGGCTGTCGTAATAGCGATGTGGGGAAAGCAAAGTCCAAAAACACATGAGTCGACAAGCGAGGGCCAGCAAGAAATAGATCAGAAACGGGAAAACCTGTAATGAAACCAGACTAAGGACAATCACAGAGAAATGTTCAATAATTGGCAAATGTCAACTTTCCTCAGTTTCCTTTTGAAAGCTTCACAGTTGTTGTCAGCACTCAAAACTTCGCGAGGTATGCACCGTAACCATCTAGCTCCCCGACAAAAAATATGATTGAATAACAGGTTGACATGTTTCCTCTCAACTTTTGGGTAATGCGAGCTAAACCACCGTGTCTATCGTAAGCAGGCATAAAGATTCAGTAATCGCTGAGAATCAACTTCACTTCACGTTTCAGAACTCTGAGGCAAAACAAGAGGTCAGATTTAGCTCTTCTGCAAACAAGAGATTCAAGTCCCAGCTTCTTCAAGCGGTCATGATAACTCATAGCGGAACAATAGGGGATACATCTCCTCATCACAATTCTAGTAAAAACTCTCTGAACTCTTTTAAGCTTTTTAATATGTTTAGCTTTACTCGGACTCCAGAGTTGTGAGCAGTATTCAAGTTTAGGTAAAACAAAAGATTTATGAGGTTAACATAATCGTTGGATTATCCGGAGGACATTTCGAAGTATCCGGAAGGCCGAGCCAAAAGCCTTGGTAACAGTCTCATTAATATGCTCGGTAAAATCCAGAGACTCATCGAAACGAACACCCAAATCGTAGATGAACTTGACTTGCATGTGACATTTTTGCATTCTCGGATCGATCATTTTGATTTCACAATTTTGTGTGCCCCGGAAGAATCCACTAAATACTTTTTCGGACTCATGTGTACAATGTATAATGACCAAGTTGGAGGTTCGTAGAAGTTCGAAGGAGATCCGATTTTCAGGGTACTTAAGAAACTGCTACGCCTTAGGTGGACCTTTGATGGCTATTTTTTAGAGCTTGCTTTTCTCTATAGAATGGTAGCTTATTGCTAGGAAGCAAAACAACCTGATAGAAAAAGGAGTTTACTTTTATGACAGCCTAATATAAAATAAAGAACCTTTCAAAATTCGTTTTCAAAATTTTTCCAGAAAACCATCTTTTAGAGCATGTTTTGCTCCATCAGATGATACTCCCGCCCCCCCCCCCTCACCCTGTACCCCATATTCCCCAGCTTGGCGCTCACTGTGCCCTTAGGATGTGATGAGACATTATTTTTAGAACGATATAAAGACAATTTCAAACTTAGCTTAAACTAACAGTCCTGCGATCGCTTGTATTTATTCATCTTGAAGCGAATCTAAGGATCTGTACGGCAAAACCACACAATCGGATTCTTTGGAAGGCGGGCATCAATAAAAGACTTTGTAAGGACCGCATTAGCAAGCAGGAAGAGCGCGCTTTCTTTCCTTACTATTAAATCGTTCGCTAACTTCGAGAGAAGATTCCTTTGACATTGTTTGTTGTTATCCTTGTTCCTTCTTCAAATAAACTAAGTGTGGCTTCACGCTTCTTTAATGAGTGTTTAGACCCATAGGTGCGATAAGAGGAGCAGGGTCCTTTCCAGGTGAAGGAGGTTTTGGTTATTTCCGACCTAGAAAAATGAAGGGGGTAACTGAGTCTTAAGATGAATGCTGCCGCAAGCTTGCATGCCTAACGGTAGCGGGAGTTCCCTCGAAGGTCATCTAACAGAGACTTTTTTGACTCGGGAAAGCTTTGTGTTTTATCAATCAACATACCATTCGGAAGCTTGAGACATATAGAATCAACGAAGACCGTCTCTTTTTTTCAGCTCTCCTGTGAATACAAATATAAGAAATTATATCTAGCTTCAGCATCAACTGATTTTATGCAATCACTTTGCGCTCCATTTCTGAGAGAAAGAGGAGAGCTAGAAAAAAAAAGAGACGGTCTAGGTTTACTGGGACGGTCTTGTTCTGTGATACTGTTAGACAACCAGTCACCTTCATTCATTCTTCACGCAGGAATTTTTTGACAAAAACACGCATGTTTCTAGCTAAAATGCCATGTATCTCTGAGCAGAAGGGAGCTAGAAAAGAAGAGACGGTCTACGTCGAATCCTTGTTTCGTGAGCTTTCTAATGGTATATAGGCTGTTGGGTGAAAAAACTCGTGGTTTTTCAAAATTGAGGAGAAGTTATTCAATACTAACTTGCACCACCCTGCTCTGGCTTTCTATGGGAAGCCGGAGCAAGACTCTTTTGGATTGGTAAAGCTTTATGCCCAAAACTTTGTACACCATTCGATAGCTAAGAACACGAGGAATCGACCTAGACCGTCTCTTTTTTTCTAGCTTCTTTGTGAAGCGAGGTACGAGCAAATTTACCCAGCTACAATAACAGCCAATTCTGGGTAATTATTTTTCAAGACCGAGAAGGTTTTTCCGAAGTTTTTATAGGATTCGAAAGTTTGAGAAACTAGTAATCTAAATGCCCCTTTATTTGTAATTATTTTCTCTAGTGAAAGGAAATATAGTAAGATTCTTGTCAGTAAGCATCCATCACTGGCTAGTCCAGATTTAGTATTCTTGCTCAACTCTTTCTTGCGACATTGTGTATTCATTGATCAATGTTAAATATTCAAAAAATCAGGCATTATTTTAATTTTTGATTATGTTTCGTTATCAACGCCACTCTAAGTGCGCTGAAGGTCTCAAGCATGCGTTTTTTCAACAAAACGCTGTTGCTTCGATACTCTCTTGCAGTCGTGATGTCTGACGAGAAGAGCAGCTGGCGATTCCTTTTCAAATAAAAAGTGCCGTTGTAACAGGTGTTTCATAATGCCGTTACGCCTTCATTCTAGTCTCAACCTCAGGTGAAAAGGGTCAACCAGATGCCGGCCCTTAAGTGAAGGGGGGTCAGAGAAATTTCTCCACCTATCGCATCTATGTTTAGATCTATTATCTAGCGCTCATTTAGCTGGAATGTTGTGCATACTAACAAGGGTACAATGAGCTTTTGAACCCAAGAAATAAAAGGGGATGCATACAGCGGATGTGGTTTCGGTGGCGGCCTGCCACAGCTTGGCGCAAACTGCATCGTCTAGATTTTCGATCAATTTCTGTCCTCGTGATATGCTGCAAATTTTGCCAGAAATTCTTTAATTAATCTCTTTATGCACTAGGAAGTTGTATCACAGTATCTCGTAGAGTCGCACGGTTTTGACTGGCAAATGTAGCATCTGTCGTCATCGCACTTGTCGGAAAACCAAGCGAACCTGAAAAGGAATGATAAAAAGATGATTTACGTTTTATTAGCTTTTTATACTATTACACTATGTAGCCTGAAGCATAAAATGCAATCATCAACTAATCTTGGGGAGACGGTCAAGAGGCGCGATTTCTCTGGCTGTCACCAACTTAAAACTCCGGTTTAGTGCTATGCGAGTCTTCAAAAATTACCGGATAAAGTGCATTAGCTTACTATCCGTCTGAGGTCACCATTTACTGAGTTTCATGGTTTTTGCTATATATCGGACTGGAATATTTAAGAATTTGTTCTGAGTTGCATTTTCATGAGCTTTTGACCTTCAAAATTGCTCTTTTAAACTTCTTCTAGAGCATCAAGATTGAACAGCTCATGCAACTATCTAATATATCTTCTTCCAGATTTCATATACCCTAATTTCACGCGTACAAGGCGCGGGGTGATCCTAGCTTTCATCGACCAGCCCGAACACGGCAAAGGACTTCGCAACCAAAGGAACCCCATACCGTGCTGCGGTTTGCCTGACAAATCGTGCGGCATAAGGATCGCTTCTTAAAACACGTTGGGGCGGCTGAGCAGCTCGATGAAAGCTAGGACCACCCCGCGCCTTGTACGCGTGAAATTAGGTCAATTTTCGAAAGTTGCAAAACACTCATTAACTGCTATATAGTGTCTAGCTGGCAATAAAAATCGCGCCTCTTGACATACACCCCTAATCTTGCTATTCTTTGCCGACAGTACCAGATATATTTTATGTTTGATGTTGATGACAATTAATTTGTAAATAATGACGGAATCTAAGAGCTCATGCTGTTTAGACAGCATTCTTTTTTTTATGACGAAAAGAAACAAAATTACGCAGAGAAATGAAATATCGTTCTTCAACATAAGCTGCTACAGGAATCGTTTGGATTATCTTCAATATCTTATCATTTCTTTGATAATAGCGGTTACTTTCTTTCAAATAGAAATTACAGGGATCGACCTCAGAGACCACTACTAGAGAATCTGCGAAAGAAAGACTTCTGAATAAGAAGGTGAATGATTCATGATATGTAATACTTGATATCATACTTTTTCAGTTTCTTCTTCTTCTTTGTTCTAACATACCTAAATCCTGAATACTGCTGCATATAGGCACAGCGTCCACTGCCTGGTTGATCTGGACCCCAATTAGTATATCCAGTCTAAAACATTTTGCAATGAATTTACAATGACGCAAGAATTACTCACAGAGTATCCGCCTTGCCATTTCCAGCCATCACCATCATTTGTTAAGCCCAACCAGAATTCCGTTTTTGAAGGGAATACTGAAAGTGAGTTGCAGTAGTTATTTTGTTCCTTCATTCATTATATGCCAGTAGTCTCACTTGACGTCAAAAAAGAGTTTTTTGCGGAATCTTCGACGAGTGTTAGTGTAGAATTGTGATTGTGCGTACATGCTTGCTGTGCCGATGGCTGCAAGAATATTGATACGGACCGATGGTTTGTGAGAGATCTTCAAGTATTTTTTTGGGGGTGTTTTGACCTGATAATTTCAGGGTCTACTACCCACGAAGAAGCCACAACATCAGTCCATATACTAGTCAAAATCTTTAGTGGACGGATATGATTGGAAGATTATGATGTAGAGGCCTTCAATTTTCATTCGTTTCAGGCAATCTTGAAACTAACTTTTATAGAAAGATGAGAGTTTGCGGTGGCACATTCAAAGGCCTGCAGCATACAGTCCACTACATTGAAGCAGCTCAACATTTCTTTTTTGAAAGCATAAACATTTTTGTTCCCTCTATTTCTATCCGAAGAAAGAACACAGCACCGGTATAGTTGAAGATTTAGGTGTAGTTTGAGTTACACTACAAGTGATCCAGTAATCTAGTAGAATTGGTTCAGTAGAATTAGCGAGTGGGTTTAAAGAAAGTTATGACTTCAGGTAAACCAAGTTCACATATCTTATAAATCTTTATGAGAAAAAGTTTCTCCTTTTTTGATCATTTGAAAAAAATTTTTCGTGATTTCAGATGATTTTTTGAGTGGTTTGAAAGCAAGTAGATTTGGTAGTAAACTTTAAGGTTACGATACCGCTCACAATTCGTCAAAAAAGTCGCCGGACTGCGGCGGACTCCGCCGGAGTGCGCTGCTGTCCGACGGAGTGCGACGCAGTCCATTAGAGTACAGCGGAGTGCGCCGCACATCATTAGAGTCCGTCGGAATCCGCGTCACATCGCCATATCTCGCTTTAGAATGGACGAATTTTGACCTGAGGATACCTTTCGATTCAGCTCGGCAAGGCGCACCATACGGTGTATAGAATTGCCACAACCTGTTCATGTACTGTAGATAGCACCGTACGGATACTGTTGGAATATGGTAAAAAGTCACTTTGAACTTTGATCGATTTGTTCTAAGTCCAGCTCAGGGTATCTCCAATACGCTTATTGCGGTAATTGCATTCATTTGATGCCCAAGGCACAGTGCGCAGGGTCTGCAATGTAAGGTCATTTTGATTGCTTTCGAAACGATGCTTGTTGTTGCTTTTCACGTGTTCCTCGTTCTAAACAGAAAGATCGCATGTTGCACTGGCCATCTGAAGCGAAATGGTGATCACATGCGCTTTGGTGAGCTGATATCTGATCTACATTCCTTATTTGCGAACAGCTTTCTAGTAGAATTTATAGGCGTCTCCAAACTTCGCAAACAATCATTGCCCATCAATAATTAGCGGTACAAGGACCCTTCAATATGTATCTAATAAATTTTTGCTCTTTGTAGTGAGTAGACACAGCATCATGCCCATTATGGTCTTTCGGATGATCTTTAAATAACATGCAGACATAGCTCAGCGACTCTACTATACTTTTAGCCGCTCAGAACTTCTCTCAGAGTCTCGTCAAGCAGCTAGGGAGTGTAGATATCCTTATCAAGACGCTATGGATACGTACTTTACCAAGATCGACAGTTGTGATCTTAAGGTCATTTCCTGTTCCACAGTAGCTAGTATTCGTTATGACGGCATGCTGTAGAGTACAATTGACTTGTTACTTCGCACTTACATAATTTAGCTGCGTATAGTAAACATAATATTTTCCTGAGCACGTTTTTCACCATCACATATCACAGCGCATATTGCACATAAAAAATTTTAATAAGTGTTTTTCGGTAGAGCTATGTCCACCTAACATCCTCAGTAGAAAAGCACTCAATGGCTATTCTTCAAAGCCGAGAGAAAGAGTAGCGAATTTTGGGAATATGCAAGGTCTAGAAGTTATCAATTTACCGTAAGTCTACAGCATACCTCCTTAGAAACGAATTTTGTGTTAGTACTGCAACCTGCATGCCATATTGCTTATTTGAGCCGAGTTTCGCGTTGATCTGAGGTCTTCACTTCCGTCCTGCGAACGGGTTTATGTAAGTTTGCAAGTCAACGCTTTCTGTAGATGGTGGGCTCACGTAGGCATCACGCGATAGAGTAGCCTCTCTAGTTTCTAATAGCAGACGAAAGGCACCGAAAGCCTTTTGCTGTGAATTAGTAAATGGCTAGCAAACTTTGAAGAAAACCATATCCACCTAGAAACTGCTTACCGCAGCCCGACAGTAAGAAGCTATCTTGCAAATCAATATGATTTTCATGATCAGCAGGACGGATAACCCCTATGGGAAGACTTTCTGAGGAAATCGGGACTGTAGTAGAACGCGTTGAGTCGTTGACGATTTATTAGAAAAACACAAGAGTTCCCCCTCTGCCTATCGGCGTACATGCCGAGGGTTCACTAGAAATAGCTCAGGAACAACACACAAAATATACCAGAGTGCTGTCTAATCGGTCTTCTTCGGAACGCATGGTGTGCGATGAGTCACGACGGCGATCCATACTTGATCCACTACGCATCTGGTTCGCATGTCGTCTCCATAACTGGTTGTCTTCCGTAAGCACATCGTATACGGCTTTTCCGTAGCGTTTCTTCACACGCGCTGGAATCCATTTTTCACATCCAGAGCGAAAATCACGTACCCACACGTCTTCTTGTGGTTGGTACGCTTTCTTCCGTGCTCCATGATGACTGTTAAACTGCTTCTCCATGGTTTCATTGGCCAACTTTCCTTCTTCTTTGGAATGTTCATCTAACAGCGACAGCGGTGTCCTTATCTGACGTCCCAGCAACAGTTCGGCCGGCGAAAGTTGTCCAGGGGTAGACGTCGAGGGCGTTCTTCGATAGCATTGCAAAAATTCTGCTAGCTTCTGTGCCGTCCCTCCCTCCTTGATTTTCTGAAAAGTTCTCTTGAAGATATCCACAAACCTCTCGGCTTAATCATTCGATTGTGGATGGAACGGAGGGGAGCGCATATGCTTGATTCCTTGCTCTTCACAGAAATCTTGGAATTCCTTTGCCGTAAACTGTGTTCCATTATCCGACACGATTACTCGCGGATTTCCGAATCTTGCGAAGAGTAGTCTGAGTTCCTTTAAAGTTGCAGCAGTCGACGATGACGACATTTCCAGCACTTCCGGCCATTTGGAGTACGCATCGACTACGACAAGATACATCTTTCCATTTAGTGGTCCTGCATAGTCAATGTGGATTCGGTTCCATGGTTTTTCTTCCATTTTCCATGAATGCAGTACAGTCTTCACTGGCATCTTGGCTGCTTCTTGACATTCCCTACAGCGGCGCACTGAGTCTTCGATGTCTTTGTTGATGCCCATCCAGTATGCGAATCCTCTCGCGAGCATCTTCATCCTAGTCATTCCAGGGTGTCCCTCGTGTAACTGCTTCAAAAACTCTTGTCGCAGCGAGACTGGAATAACTATTCTGTGGCCAAAGTACAAACATCCATTTTGCACTGATAAACTCTCGCCCAGTGCTCTCCAGTTTCCGATATCTCCTTTCGGCTTGGACGGCCACGATCCTGACTGCAGCATTTGTATAACCTCCATGATGTTTTCGTCCTTATGGGATTCCTCTTCAATCTTACTCCTGGTCACTGGTAGCGCTCGTACAGCGGCAGCTTGAACGGCTTGCACATCTTCTTCTATCTTCGCTATCACGACGTCCTCGGTTTGGAATGGCCGTGAAGGGATCAATCGAGACAATGCATGGGCTTGTCCGAAATCGGTCGTCTTCTGGTACTCCAAATCGAAATCGTATGCGAGAAGAATAAGTTTCCATCGTTGCAATCTGTTCGCTGTGTACACAGGTACCATCTTCTTCGGTCCAAAAATGTGCAGCAGCGGCTTGTGGTCGGTGAGCAGCCTGAATCGATGTCCGTATATATATCGATGGAACTTACGCACTGCGAAAACCAGTGCAAGTCCTTCTTTTTCAATTTGTCCATAATTCTTCTCGGCGGATGTGAGGCTCCGGCTTGCATGACAAATCGCCTTTTCCGATCCATCCGGCATCTTGTGTAAGATCACAGCTCGTAATCCGATGCGTCGGCAGCTACCACTATCTGCAACTTAGGGTCGAAATGTGTAAGGAGTAGATCCGAGGCCAAAACTTCCTTAGCACGCTCGAATGCGTGTTGGCATTCCTTTGTCCACTCGAACCTTGCTTCCTTCTTGAGCAGTGCGTCCAAGGGTGCACGGAGCTGGCGCATCTCTGCTACGAATAATCCGTAGTAGTTGATCATGCCGAGGAAGGAACGAACATCTGCTATGTTCTTCGGGGCTGGCATTTGTTGGATGACCTCAATTTTTTTCGGATCCGGCCGGCGTCCGTTCTTGTCGATAATGCAGCCTAAGTAGCAAATTTATGGCATCAGAAAGTTGCATTTTTCCAACCTGACATGGAATCCATAGTCCTTGATCCGCTTGAAAAGAGCTTCCAAATTTTGGCGATGCTCTTCGTAACTCCTTCCCGTGATGATGATGTCATCGAGATAAGCGGCTACTCCATCAAGTCCGCTTATCATAGAATCCATAATCTGTTAGAATATGCCTGGCGCGGATTTTACTCCAAAAGGTAGGCGATTGTAGCGATACAATCCCTTGTGCGTATTGATGGTTAGCATCTCTCTCGATGCTTCTTCAACTTCCACCTGTAGATAAGCTTCGGCCAGGTCGAGTTGTGTGAAGAGCTGGCCTCCGTTTAGTTTTGCGAACACCTCCTCCGCCGTGGGCAATGGGTGCTGATGCAGCTGCAAAGCATCATTCAATCCTGTCGAGAAGTCGGCACATAGACGAATTTTGCCATTTTTCTTCTTGACGGCGACCACTGGCGCCGCCCACTCTGAGTGTTCAACCGGAGAAATGACTCCTTCGGCTACCAAGCGATCGATTTCGGCTTCCAGTTCCGGTGCTGACGCGTAAGGCACCGGTCGCTTCTTTTTGAAGACCGGAACAGCATCGCTCTTCAAGACTAATTTTGCCTTACTCTTCGTGCACTTTCCCAGGTCGCTGTTGAAGACTTCACCATACTTCTTCTTCAAGTCGGCAACCACTTCGGCTCGGAACTTCT